CCACGGGTGTCATGGAAACTGTACAGTGGAGGCAGTCCCAGCAGGGGCCCCATCTCCTCTCACACGGGACATTCACTGTGTGACCTTGGGTGTGTCTTTGAACTCTTCCAAGCTCTTGTTTCCTCTCTGAGAAAGGCCATGTCCACAGTCTCTTCTGAGCTCAGAGTTCACCCCCTTGCCTGCCCCCCACCCCGGCTGAAGCCCCCTGAGCCTGATTGAGTTGTGGGGGGGGGGGGTCCCTTCCCCTGAGCCCTCCTCTTAACCCAACTCCTCCTCCCACAGCCCTGTCCGTGGCTGCTGTGCCCCTTGTGCTGGGGGCAGTGGGCTTCACCGGGGCCGGAATCACTGCCTCCTCGCTAGCGGCCAAGATGATGTCCGCGGCTGCCATCGCCAATGGGGGCGGGGTCGCCGCCGGCAGCCTGGTGGCCACGCTGCAGTCTGTGGGTAAGCGTCCCCGGCGGGGCTTGCTGTGCAGTGTGAGGAGGACAAGAGCCTCAGGACCCAGCCCAGATCTTAGCCTCACCCACCCTCAGTCTCTGTCCCTAAGTGTCACCCTCCAGGTTTTCTCTGGGAGGTGCAGGAGGGAAGGACGGAACCCTGGCCCGGGGCGTGCAGGCTTCAGGCTGGCTACCCGCAGCGGCTTGGCTGGGTGCCTCAGGGATGTCCGCCCCACCTGGGCTCAGCCTTCTTCCCTGGAGAGTGACCGCTCCCGGTTCTGGCTTTCTCCACTGGAGCGCACGCCCCAGGGCTGCAGGCCCCTGCCCTACCAACGCAGAGATCCTGAGGGCTTTGGGCAACAGGAGGGTGCTGACTGGGGTTCCGGGGCCTCGGACCCTCCCGAGGGGCCCTGGCGTCTTTGACCTCACGGTTTTGTCCCACGGAGCTGGCCCAGTTCTGCAGCTCTGAAAAGCTCGGCTCCTTCCCACTCTGCTCACCCTCTGCTTCTCCCCCAGGAGCCGCTGGACTCTCACTGTCATCCAAAATCGTCCTGGGCTCCGCGGGGACAGCGCTCGTGTCCCGCATGGTGGGCCTGTAATAGTTTCCGGCCTCTCCGCCTGCAGAGAAGAACCCTGCCGCCCCCGGCCGGCCTGATGCAGGGAGGGACCAACCCTGGGTGACAACTGTACCCTGAGGAAAATAAGGAATAAAAATTGTTGTTGCAGCCCCTCCTGAATCCCTTCCTTTCTGCTTGAAGTCAGAGGGTCGGGTCCCTCCTCTTTCCCAGTCTTGTGGTCAGAGCGACATGGCATAGGGGTGCAGTCGGCTGGGATGGGCCAAAATGTGCAGACCGGTGGCTGCCCCTGCCCAGCTTGTGACTGTGTGTGTGACTTAGGGCAGGCCACCTCCTCTCTGGCCTTCATTTGTCCCTCTCAGCGTGGGGAGTTGGTCTAAATGACCTCAAAGATCTCAGCCAGGGTGGGTGTGTGGCTCAGTTCCTGGGCAGTCAGGAACCGTGTGGGGCTCCCGGGCCGGCGGGCGAGGGCATCCCTCCAAGCTGCAGGTCTAATGGCTCTGTCCTAAGTGGCCTGACTCAGAAGCCCCAGGCCCCATGAGTCACTGTTCCATCCTCAAGTTAAAGTCCACTGTCCAGCCCTTGCTGTTGTCCTCAGCAGCTAGAAGGGAAATCTAGTTTGCGGGGGGCTCCGACCTTTCTAATTCAGGGCCCTAGTCCCTAAATGTCCTCCTCCCAGAACAAGATCTTAGAGAAACTTCTCTTCACTCGGATGGCTTCCAACTCGGAGCATCAGAAATTTGGCTTATGTACCGATTTGCTCCTCCTTTCCACAACTCTTGGAGCACATGCTGTGGGTCGGGCCTGGCCAGGTGCTGGGGAACTTGCTGGGGAACTTGGACTTTTCCTAGACAGCTGAGAGAATCTGCTGGGGGCATGGACCAACAGGTAGACAGAGATGCTGTGCTCTGGTAAGTGCCATGCCAGAGACCAGCCCAGGGCTCCGGGGCCCAGCAGAAGGCACAGAAAGTCTTAGTCTGCTATAAGAAAAAGCCTATAAACTGGGTGGTTTATAAGTAACAGAAATGTATTTCTCACAGTTCTGGAAGCTGGGAAGTCAGAGATCAAGGCACTGGCAGCCCCAGGTTACTGGTGAGAAGGTGTTTCTTCGAGGGCCCCTTTTTGCTGTGCCCTCACGTCACGGAAGGGCAAGAGCTCCCTCTGGCCTCCTTTGGAAGGGTACTAATCCCACCCAGGAAGGCTCCACCCTCATGATCTCAGCATCTCCCGAAGGTCCCACCTCCTGATACCATCATCTTGGGAGTTAGGACTGTACCCTGAATTTTGGGGTACACAAACATTCATACCATAGCAGGCATGTTGGGGAAGAGAAGTTTGGGTGCTATCCTGAGGGTTGTGGAGAGACAAGGGTTTCCAACCTGATATCGACCCAATGGCAGACCTGCATCCCTGCACGCTCTGTCCTAGGTGCTGTCAGCAACCTGACAAGATCTTGGTTTCCAACAACAACCAAATGTAGGAGTGTGGAGCTATGGACATTGAAAAAAGTTAAGCGACTCATCCATGTCCGCCAGTGGTGTCTTGTTGGGTCACTGAAGCATGGTTGCTACCTAGCCATAGGAATCACCCCTTAGGGTAGTAATTCAATATTTGGTTCTTTTTCTTTCTTTTCTTTCTTTGATGCCTCGGAGAATCTGATAAGGGCTGTGAAGCCTCTCCCCACCAAAACACACACATTCCCAAAATAATGCCTCCAACTTCAAGGCCTTCATTAGAACTTCTGAAGGCCTCCTTGGAGCTGAAGGTCAATGCCCCTGCTTTAACTGGAGGTCCAGGTCTCCACCAGGGCACATGGGTCTGCCCTGGATCTGGAAGGTTGGACAGGTTGGCTCACTCCCTGCCAAGGCCCAGCAGACCACTAAGCAAGACCCATTGTTCTGGGCTCTGTGCCCTGACCTCCTTCGCTCCACTCCCAGGTCCCAGGGGGCCTGTTTTATGCTGACCTCCTTCTTCCCCTTTGGCTGTCAGGTTTGGCCTCTGGAGCAGGTGGATGTCTTTCTTTCTTTTTTTTTTTTAATTTCTTATTGTTATGTTAATCACCATACATTACATCATTAGTTTTTGATGTAGTGTTCCATGAGCCATTGTGCATAACACCCAGTGCTCCACGCAGATCATGCCTTCTTTAATACCCATCACCAGGCTAACCCATCGCCCCACCCCCTCCCCTTGGAGTAGGTGGATTTCTAAGCATGGTGCCCAGTGACCCTCAGTCTCACATACTGTCCCGCCCTTAGGGTGTGGTGGGTCCTGTGAACGTGATAAGATACCACTTCCATAATTATGTTCAGTTATACAACAGAGGGAGATAATGCGGGTGTGTCAAAGCTCAGCTCATCCTATGAGCCCTTTAAAGGCAGAGAATGTTCTCTGCTCAACACAGAGAAGGGATCAGAGGATTTGAAGTGGGAGGGGGATTTGAAGATTCTTACCGTGGGCTCCGAATGCGAGCCCCATCTGGCTGAACAGTTGATTTTGGTCTTGTAAAACCCTAAGCAGACAACTCGGTGAAGCCTGCCTGGACTTCTGCCCTACACTATAACGTAAGAAATTTGCCCTGATTTTTGGCTAGGTGCATGCTCCCCACGGAAGGACTGCATTTCCAGTATATCCGGACTGGGTTCTGGCCAGTGGAAGATGAATAGAATGAAGGATGCCATTCTCTGGGCATGCAGTTAAAGGGAGCAGGTGGGCTCACCTTTCCCCCTGGTCTCCTTCCCATGAGTTCTTCTACAGGCAGGGGAATGACCATCTTGAACCTGCAGATGAGAGCAGCACATTAAGGAAGGCAGAACAAGGGGGCGCCTGGGTGGTTCAGATGGTTAAGGGTCTGCCTTCAGTTCAGGTCATGATCCCAGGGTCCTGGGATCGAGTCCCACATTGGGCTCCCTGCTCAGTGGGGAGCCTGCTTCTCCCTCTCCCTCTACTGTTCCCCCTGCTTGTGCTCTCTCACTTTCTCTGTCAAATAAATAAATAAAATCTTAAAAAAAAAAAAAAAAAAAGGAAGGCAGAACAAGACGTTGGCAGCCTGGGTCTCCGGGAGCCGAGCCACCCCTACCCGACCCTCCCACCCCCAGCTGAGACTCATGTGACTGACTAACAGAAAGAAACTTCTCTTGTTTAAGCCAAGAGGGTCTCTTTCACAGCAAGCTGACATAGTCTAATGAACACAGTAGGGGATCTTCATGTCGAGCAACAGAGGAATCGGTCCGACAGAGGGTTGCCTTTACCTGTGCTGTCCTCTTCCAGACATCACGACAATAATAGTAACGGACTAAAGAGGCTTAGCACCACGTGGGCAAAGAGAAGGCGAGAGATGACAGGAACACGACTTTGGGAGGCAGAAGTCACATGGACACATGGTTTCACTGAGCAGTCCCAGGAGAGCTGAATCTCAAGTTGTCAGTGGAGAAGGGGAGAAAGAGACAGCTCTCCTCCGGAGGACCCCAAGGGCCCCACTCCTGGAGGGAGGCATTGGGGTGGACCAGCACAAGTCTGTTGGATATCTGTTTAAGAACGAGGCAGATCCCGGGGGTCCCCTCCAGCAGACAACTGGCACTTTATTTTTGGAAGGTTTGGGTCTCTGGGACAAGGGGCACCTGATGCAGCTGAGAGCGGGAGCTTCGTACTAAAAAACGAAGAGTTCCCATCCAAGTGTAGAGACCCCCGTTCTTCGCCGATAGGCGCCCAGAGCGCGGCAGCCAGGTTACGACAGCCCGAACAAAGGGAGGAGGCTTCTCAGGAATCTTACCTGCCCAAGAAAAGAAATGTTCCCACTCTGACACCTGGGGGCAGGGGTGCTCATCGAAAGGCTCAGCCAGGGGCGCCTGGGTGGCTCACTCAGTTAAGCAGTTGACTCTTGATCTCAGGGTTGTGAGATCAAGGCTTAAGATTTGCTCTTTGCCTCTCCCCCACCTCTAAGAAAATTAAAAAATAAATAAATAAATAAGGCTCAGCCAGATCCCAGTACAGTCAGGGAGGTGTGTCTGCACATGATCTTTGTTTCTCATGCTTCTTTGACCCCACTGGGGGTTTTGGAGGTTCAACTTGGGATTCTTTTTCTTCTGGCTCTTTCTCTTCAGCCTCGGCTTCTTCTGGGGGAGAGGGAGGTGCCTTTTTTGAACGTCCAAACCAGCCTCTGAAAGCTGACCCAACAGAGCCCAGGAGGATTTTGGATGACGTGGAGAGTCCAGCTGCCCCTGAGGAAGAGACAGAGGGTGAGGACGGGCACATGCAGTGGCCAGTGGCCCCCACCCCCCTGGAGGTCTGAGGCCCGGGAACCTGGATTCCTCCTCTAGGTTCTGAAACCCCCAGGGCTCCACTTTGGGCAGAAGACGCTGGATGAAGTGAGAGACAGAGGACAGTCAGCCACAGACCCTGATTGTGACAGGTCCCCTCACCTTACCCAGGAGGCCACTGAGGCCCAGAGGGGAAGGGACCCTCCTAGGCCACCCAGGTGTCAGATCTGGGCGGGGCTGTACCCGGAGCCCTGGGCTCCTTCCCTTCTTCTCCCTCCCAGAGCTCCCTTAGCCCTCCACTCCTACCAGACCTCACTCAGAAGGAGCCAGAAAGAGGGCAGTCAGGGAGAGTCAAAGGACCGGGAATGCGGAGGGAGAGGACAGCCTGTCCCTCAGGCTTAGCCTCTGCTCCCCTTCCCCCGCTCCTCTCCCGCCCCTCCCCCCACCTGTCCCCCAACAAACCCACGGACTGCAGCGTGGCCACCAGGCTGCCGGCGGGGACCCCGCTCCCGTTGGCGTTGGCAGTCGCGGACATCATCTTGGCCGCTAGCGAAGCGGCGGTGATTCCGGCCCTGATGAAGCCCACGGCGCTCAGCACGACGGGCGGGGCCGCCACGGCCACTACTGCGGGGAAGAGGAGCTGGGTTGCCGCGTGGGCCCAGGGCAAGGGACCGCTCCGGAGCCCCTTGGCAGTTTCGGGGGCCTGTCTGCGCTGAGCATGCGGGAGACCGCTCGGAGGGGGTCCCAAGGCAAAGAAAAAAGTGGGGGATGTGGAGCCAGGTGGGGGCGAAGGTGTCACAGGAGGCCCAGGCAGGCCCCGTTTGGGTCTCTAGCTTGCTGCGCGACCCCGGGGACGTCACTGCCCCTCACTGGGCCTCTTTGTGTGTGTGTGTGTGTGTGTGTGTGTGTGTGTGTGTAAATGTGGGGTGCGAGATACACCATTGCAGTTTCCAGTAGTCACCCCACCCCCGACCCCGGTCAAAGGAAATCTCTACATGCTCCTTATACGGAAGGACTAGAGGAGCAGCCAGGTCCCGATCAGGTGTCCTCTTAAGGGCGAGTACTGTGAGCGGGGGGGGGGGGCTCTCCGGTCCTAAGGTCCACCCGGGCAGTCCCGGGAGCGGAGGGGTGGCGGGTCGCCCTCCCAGCTGGAGCAGCGCCACATCTCCGAAGTCCCCTCCCTGGCGACGGAGAGGATCCGGGCAACTCACCTCCTCCCAAGACAGCACCCGCCACCGCCCGTTCTGCGGAGCCGAAAAGGGGAGAGAGACAGAGAATGAGTCAACTAGTTAGTAAGTGGAGGGAGTGAGGGAAAGAAGCGACCCCTCTGGCCCGCCCTGGGTTGGGGACCGGGAAGCCTACGAGCCAATCCCCCCCGCCCCCCCCCCCCCCCCCCACCCCAAGCAAACCCGGGCACCGCCCTCCACCCCGCCCGCACCCCTCCACCCACCTCTCCTTGTCTGGGCTGGTCTGTCCCTCCAGCTCCTGACCCCACCCCTCTGCGGCCTCTCGGGCCCAGTGGTGATTTCCCTCTTGCTTGGTGGCTCCACCAAAATGAAAGAGAAAGGAGCCCTAGAGCATCTGAACCACAGAATTGTTTCCAACAAAAAAACAAAATGTGAAGAAAAAAACCAAAACAGATGACCGCTGAACAACATGGTTTTGAACTCCGTGGGTCCACGGAGTTTTTTTAAATAGTATAGCACTGTAAATATATTTTCTCTTCTAATGATTTTTTTAACAGCACTTTCTTTTCTCCAGCTTACTTTACTGTAAGAATACAGTGTATATATAATACATATAACACAAAATATGTGTGAATCGACTGTTTATGTGATTGGTAAGGCTTCTTCTGGTCAACAGGAGGCTAGTTTTGGGGGAGTCAAAAGTTGTAGGCAGATTTTCCACTGCGCAGGGGTTGGTACCCCTAACCACGCCCCCCCCAACGTTCAAGGGTCAACCACATTTAATTTCGTTTCCAGAAGGAGATACTGATACATTTTGGAGTATTTCCTTCCAGTCTACCTCACCACGGCCACCCCATTTCTGTCACTCTCTGAAGATGTAACCCCCTACCAAGTTCCAATCACATTGTGCACACTACCTTGCAAATACCTCATTTAACTGGTCATTTAAATTTCCCCAGGCTGCTTAATATTCTTCAACATTCTCTTTAAAGTCAAGTTTATTGAAATATAATTTACACATGGTAAAACTCAACCTTTCAGCGTACACATCTGTCAGTTTGGACAAATTTTACAGTCGTGGAACCACCAGCTCAGACATGGGACATTTTCAACACCATATCCCAGCCCCCCCCCTCCCGCCAGCCCCAGATTCTTGCAGGCTCCTTTGTAGTCAGTCTTCGCAGACCTCAGGCCCTGGCACCCGCTCATCTGGTTTCCATCCTACACATTTGCCTTTTCCAGAACTTGAATGTGTTTTGTACTTGTCATCAAATGGCTGTCCTTCGTATTAGCTCCCCTTTTAAGGGTTTAAATTCTTTCTAATTTTTGTTCTCATAAATTATCCTGGCTTGAAGTGCTTAGGTCACCATGCACAAATATTTTCTGATAATATGTTCCTAGAGGTGGAGTTGTTGGGTCAGAAACTATGCATTTCTTATGGCATTGATATTTATTGTTAGGTGCTTTCCAAAAATATTATATCTGTCTATACATCCCTCAAAAGTATGTAGGAAGATCTATTTTTTCCTACTCCTCACCAATGGTTAACTTTGTCATAAAAAAAGAAAAAAAAATCTTTGCTGATGAAAGGAGAAAAAGGGTGACTTATTTTAATTTATATTTCTTTTACCACTAATGAGGTGTGAAAATAAAAGGAAACGTCACTAAAATGGAGTGGGGAGACCAGGAGGGGGAGCTCTCCCACCGTACCATTCCTCAGTTGCAAACCCCCAACAAGAGACCTACTTTCCAAGTGGACACTGCTTTAGCTACTACTTTGCCTCTCCTGGAGAAGGAAGACTTTTTCAACCCCTCTGGCAATAGCCCAGCCAATGAGAGACTGTCATAACTCAGCCAATGAAGAGCCACTGTACTTTGAACTCCCAGTTTACTTCAATGGACTTTTTATTTCTATAACAGCCCTCCCAATTTCCGGTTCCCTCTGTAAGAGAGCTTGCTTCCCCTTTGTTCTCCAGATTTGCCTATGCTTTCTCCAAAGTTCTGTGTTGTGGATTGTCATTTTCTGCCATTTCTGAATAAGCCAATTTTTGCTGGTAAAATATCTGGCAGTTTATTTTTAAAGTTAACAGAGGCTAATTATTTGGGGGTTTATTAGTCTTATGCGATCCTTATGTTGTGAATTATCTTCCCACATTCTGGATTTTTTTTTCCATTGAGGTTTTTTTTTTTTCCTTATAGATATATAGGAATAATATATTAACTCTCTTAATCCATTCTCACAGATGTTGCAGAATTTTGTGTCCAGTTCATCCCTTTTTTTGACACAAAAACTGTTTTTTAAAAATGATTTTATTTATTTACTTGAGACAGAGCAAGACAGCACAGGCAGGGGGAGTGGCAGGCAGAGGGAAAGGGAGAAGCAGACTCCCCACTGAGCAGCAGGAAGCCTGATTGGGGCTCTACCCCAGGACCCTTGGGATCATGACCTGAGCCGAAGGCAGATGCTTAACCAACTGAGCCACCCAGGCAGCCTGACACAAGAACTTTTTAATACTCATATAAATTTGCCAATGTTTTATTTTTTTGTCTTTGTGTTCCTGTAAAGGTTGTTCCCATCGGCTATCAGATACATCACCTGCATTTTTTTTAAGTTTTTCTGGGGTTTCACTTTTTAAGATTTAACTCTTTAGGGGCGCCTAGCTGGCTCACCCAGTTAAAGTGACTGACTTTTTGTTTCAGCTCAGGTCGTGATCTCAGAGTCATGAAATTGAGTCCATGTCAGACTGTGCTTACAGCAGAGTCCGCTTGGGACTCTCTCTCCCTCTCTTTCTGCCCCTCCTCACTGCTTCTCTCTCTTGCTTTCAAATAAATAAATAAATCTTTAAAAAAAATGAAATTAACTTTTTAATCAGTCTAGAATCCAGTTTGGTACCTATAGGGTGCTTTGCATACCTATATATGTCTTAGTTATTCCAACATCATTTATTAAATCATCTTTCTTTTCCTCTTTGATTTGAAATTCTATCTTTATATTCAAAATGCACATACTGACATATATACCAGTATAAGCGTTTTGGAGTTTCTCTTCTTTGCTAATGAACTCTCTCTTTTGGCAACACGATCACACTGTTTTAATGTTTATATATTTATATTTGATTTAATATCTGCTCATTTTGATTTAGGTTTTAAAAAATATTCTGGCTCTTCCTATAATTCTTCAGATGAACCTTAAAAATATTTTTTTCAATTTCCAAAAAAATCTTTCCTATTGATTGAAACTGAGCTAAGTGTTTAAATAAATATTCAGGGAGAAAAGCTTTACAGAAACTCCTCTTTACATCCAGGAACATGATAAGTCTTTTCACTTATTCCAGTTTTTTAAAAAATATTCCCTAATAAAATTTTGTAGTGGTTTTTATATAAGGACTAGATATTTCTAAATAAGCTTTATTTATTTTTTTAAAAGATTTTATTTATTTATTTGACAGAGAGAGAGAGAGAACACAGCAGGGGGAGCAGCAGACTCCCTGCTGAGCAGGGAACTCAGCTCGGCTCAGGGCTCGATCCCAGAACCCTGGGATCGTGACCTGGGCCAAAGGCAGCCGCTTAACCAACTGAGCCACCCAGGCACCCCAAAATAAGCTTTATTTTTAAAGGAAGTTTTAGATTTACAGAAAATTTGCAGAGATAGTACAGAGAGTTCAAACATACCCCACACTCAGTATCCCCGTCATTGATAACTTATATTAGTAGGGTACCTTTGTTAGAATTAATGAGCCTGTGTTGGTATATTATTGTGAATTAAAGTCCCTACTTTATTCAGACTTCCTTAGTCTTAACCTAATGTTGTTATGTTCCAGGATCCCATCCGGCTCTTCATGGCTGTGACAGTTCCTCAGACTTTACTTTTTTTTTTTTGATGACCGATGTGGGGCTCGATCCCAGGACCCTGGGACCATGACCTGAGCCGAAGGCAGACGCTTAACCAAGTTTTGAGGAGTACCAGTCAGGTGTTTTGGAGAATGTTCCTTCGCTAGGATTTGTGTGAATTTTCCCCCTTGTGATCAGATTAGAGTTAGCGGTTTGGGGGAGGAAGACCACAGAGGTGAAGCGCCATCCTCATCACATCATGTCAAAGTACATGCTAGCAACACGACTTGCCACGGTTGAGGTCGACCTTGAGCACCTGGCTGAGTAAGTGTGTGTCAGGTTTCTCCACTGTGAAATCACTGCTACCCATTCCTTTCCATACCGTCCTCTTGGGAAGAAAGTCAGGGCACCCACACTTAAAGACTGGGGAGTTACACTCCACCTCTCTGAGGCGGGAGTATCTTCATAAATTATTTGTAGTTCTTCTGCAGAGAAGATTTGTCTCTTCTTCCCATTTTATTAATTTAATCATTGTTTATATCAGTATGGACCCATTGATGTTTATTTTATACTTTGTTGCATAATACACAATACTCCTGCATAATGCATTGTTTAATTATATTCTTGCTCAAGTTTTTCCAGCTTTGGCCACTGGCAGTCTTCCCACTGGCTCCTGTATCTCTCTGACACACTCCATCGCTGTGGAGTACATGCACGTGTGTGTGTGCGCGCCTGAGTGTGTGTGTGTTTAGCGCCTCATTACTTTCGGGCACTACAAGATGCTCCAGGCTCATTTTGAATATTTCTTGTCTCAATCCTAGTATTGGAGTCCTGGTGTTTTTTTGTTTTTTTGTTTTTTGTTTTTTTATTGGAGCGTGGTATTAGCAACACCTGCAAGTTAGGTGTGCTCATTGCTACTGGGGTATCATTACTCCTAGGCCCTCTTAGTTACAGAGCAAAGAAGCAAAGAAATGTATGTGTGTACACTAATCCACCTATTCATATTTGTTTGTAACCACCTGTATCTATATTGAGCTAAACCTGAGTTCACACTGATACCTCAAACCCCGATGCATTACCACATGGATCATTCTTGCCTCCTCTCCTTTCTTATCTGTTAACTCCCACTCCAGTAGGGATAAACGTTGCTCCTTCCTTCCATCATCCACTTATTTAATTGCTCAGTTTCACTATACAAGAGCAGTATCAGGGCTGTTGATCGCGGACTACATATTTTTTATGAAATTTAAAAATACTTTCGAATGTTTGCTACTATCCTGAAATGAAACTCATAAATCATATCACCTGGTTGCATGCAATATATTGCCCACACTGCAATATGCAAGAGAAATAAAAGGAAGTTACTTATAATAAAATAGTGTGTATTTCAATATCTATGCGCTCAAGTGTTCCGGAACCTGAACTGGATCGCCCGATGGAAGAACCAAGCGGCACCCGGAGATCTTGGAGGATAAGGAGATTTATTTAACGCCAGCAGGCTCAGAAGAGAGCGGTCTCCAAAGGTCTGAGCCCCGAGCTCAAATAATGGAGACAATTTATTCACTTCTACTTCCGCATACTGGGCACTTTTGGCGCCTGCGCGAAGCGGGGGGCAGGGAGAAGAACCCGGATTGGTCGGGGTGGCGGGGGGGAGGGAGGAGAGCAGAGCAGGGAGAAGAACCCGGAGCAGCTCCGGGGCAAGGACTGGGGCTCTTGCTGCAGCGGTGGTCCATCTAAGGACACAGATTTTCCTTATTCCAAGCACTATTATAATAGAAAAAATAATGAATAAGGTGCTTGCATCTATTTAAGTTTTGATTGGACATAATATTCAGCTGACCATTATGAACACTTTTGTATATTTGATAATTTGAAACAAATGCTTAAGAAATACATCTGCATATCTTTATCCATTGATCTATATGTAATCACGCATGTGACAGCTGCAAATACAGACTGAAGTAACATCGCTACCAGCAACATGCTTTTCCGAAATGGTATCATTCTGGCACAAGTGATAATGTGTGGGGGATTTGCCCCCACAGCACCAAATAAATCTCTAACACCAGCTGGGTGTCCTGCAATTGAACCCTGTTCTGACACTATCTACCCAGAGATAGTGTCAGATCCCACAGGTTAAGGGCTCAGTCCCACAAGATAGCCCTCCAGATGCCATTCACAAGTCCAGGTTGTTACTTTGTGTAATTGACGAATGGCTTATAAATCAGAGGTGCCCATGATCCCCCTCCTTGGGTTCCGATTAATTTTCTAGGGTAGCTTACAGGACTCTGGAAACCAGTTTACTTACTAAATTGCCAGTTTATTACAAAAGAATTTCAGGGCGCCTGGGTGGCTCAGATGGTTAAGCATCTGCCTTCGGCTCAGGTCATGATCCCAGGGTGCTGGGATCGAGTCCCACATCGGGCTCCCTGCTCCTTGGGAGCCTGCTTCTCCCTCTGCTTCTCTCTCTCTCCCTCTGTCTCTCATGAATAAATAAATAAAATCTAAAAAAAAAAAAAAAGAGTCACCTGGGTGGCTCAGTCGTTGGGCATCTGCCTTAGGCTCAGGTCATGATTGCAGGGTCCTGGGATCAAGCCCCACATCGGGCTCCCGGCTCGGCAGGAGGCCTGCTTCTCCCTCTCCCCCTGCTTGTGTTCCCTCTCTCGCTGTGTCTCTCTGTCAAATAAATAAAATCTTAAAACAAAACAAAACAAAACAAAAACCAAAAAGAGATTCAAAGATATGAATCAACTGCCAGGTCAAGAGATTACATTGGGCAAGGTCCCCACCCAAGGAGCTTCTGTCCTCATGGAGTTTGGGGCTGACTCGGCGGCAGGTGAAAGCATTCTGGCCCATCAATCTGGAAGCTCTCTGAACCTTCTCCTTTTGGGTTTTTATAAAGGCTTCATTACTTAGGCACGATTGATTAAGTCATTGACCACTGGTAACTGATGGAACTTCTAGCCCATCACCATTCCCTGGAAACGAGGGTGTGGGGCTAAAAGTTCCAATCTTGTATTCCATTGTTGGTTCCTTTGATCCCAGTGTCCTCACCTTCGGGGGGTTTCCAAAAGTCACCATGTTAACAAAAGCTTAGTAGTGTTTGAAAGGGTTTTTTTTTTTATGACTAACAAGACACACACTTCACCTTCATGGCTCTGAAGTAACTTCAGGAATTGAGGACAAGAGACCAAATATTATGACAAAGGATGTTCCCATCACGCTCATTGCTCAGGAAATTCCAGGAGTTTGGGGAAATATGAGTCAGGAAACTTATTCTAAGACCAAAATATATATATAGTATAAAGCACAAATGTCACAAATGGTGACTAACTCTGGGTAAAGTTCAGGACAAATCAAAGTACAATCTCTCCCTGATTTGCAAGATAATTGAAATTACTGGAAAGTTCAAATTATGTTAAAACTATGCAAAAAACAGTTACATGTAAAATTTGGTGACATTCTAGGCCCAGATACTTATGAGTTTTTTGCTTACATGAAGGGACTTTTGAAAATTCTACAGGGTAACTTTCAAGTGTGTGAGACAATCCTGCGTGATTCTGATGTCAGGCATCCCTGGCCCCTATATACTAAATATTGGTAACATACCTCCGTCATTGGGACTACTTAAAAAAAAAAATCAAATTTCCAAAATATCCCCTAGGGGGCAATACCATCCTGTTAAAAACTGTCCTCTTAGGCGGTAACTTAATAAACCTAGGGATTCAGGGATGTTTATAATTAAAGAAAAAAATAAAGCAAACCAAAAATCTTATTTTTGGCATTAATTTTAAGAATGATTTGTGCAAGTTAAGTATTTAACATGTGCACAAGAACTTGGTATATGTGACAGATTAGAATTATGATTCCAATTTTATTGGTATACTTCAGTAAGAACTTAATCTTGTGATTACAAAGTTGAAAAGGATTCTATTTTTCAACCAATTTTGAAAATAAGTATTGTTTAAGAATACTGGAAATTAAAAATTCTATAAGCTTATTTTATTAGATTTATAGGATTCACCGATGTTCCCAGGAAGGTTTTGCTTGTTAGAAACAAAGTTTCTTTTAAAGGAAATTGACTATATAGGCTAAAAAACAAGACAACAGGTCCCAAATGGAGTCACTTATGCTAAGCCCCACAACACCCAACTGAGATTTAACTTAATTATAGTTTTGTTCTCCCAGAAATGGAATCTTAAATCAGTCAGTCGGGAAGTGCCTGTTAACACTAGTTGAGTCATCTGCTTGATAGACCCATGCTATTTCCTAAAGCCAAAGTAACTTTGTGGTAACCAACCTGCTTTTTTGCCTAGTATAACTTGTTCCCGTGCCCCTCTGCCTATAAAAGTGTATCATTTTTGTACAGCTCCGCAGAGCTCCTTTCTATCTCCTAGATTGGGTGTTGCACAGTTTGAATCAATTCTTGCTCAAATAAACACTTACAATTTTTAATATGCCTCAGTTTGTCTTTATATACACACACACAAAATTAGAAAGAAAATTGGTTATGTTAAAATATATGCAGCCTAAAAGTATTTAGGGGAATTTGATTAAGTTGCAAAGTCCTCTTAGATTTATAAGTAGAATATTAAGTTTTTAATTAAACCTAAATACTTAAGGAATGTTAGCTTTTAATTTTTTTTCAATAAATTGAAGATAAACTTAAAAACTCAAGCCACAAATAGCCTTTGTTGTTCCTTGAACCTGCTTCCAAAGAAAACCTAACTCACATGTGTAGCAGCTACCTTCCCTGTCTTCCCTGAGCCTTTACTGATTTCCTCCAAATCGCAGATAAAGACAGTAAACTTAAACCAAACACAAGCAAGCATTTAATCATTAAGGGAAAAGATGACTAATTTGAATACATGTTTTTTTTTTTTTAAGAGAGAGAGAGAGTGTGAACATGCGAGTGGGGTGGGGCAGAGGGAGAGGGAGAGAGAGAAACAGAGCAGGCTCCATGCTCAGTGTGGAGCCTGAGACAGGGCTCGATCTCATGACCCTGAGATCATGGCCTGACCCGAAATGAAGAGTCAGATGCTCAACTGACTGAGCCACCCAGGCACCTATTAACTTGAATACATTAAAATTAAGAAGCGCTATTCAACATAAATCACCAAGAAAAGAGAGAAAAGCCAAGCCACACAATGGGAGAAAATATTTGCCATACATATAAGAAACAAACAGTTGATAACCAGAACATATAAATTATTCCTACAAAAGAATAGAAAGACTTCGATGAAAAATTCTAAGCAATTTAGGAATAAAAGGAAACTTCCACAATCTTACAAAAGTTTTCCATGAAGAAAATCAACAACAAATATAATCTTTCATGCTTATGTTTTGAGTGCATTCCCCCTTTTGATTGGGAGGAGGCAGGGATGTGGATTTCCACCACTTCCTTCCAGTATTGTGCTGGAGGTCCTACCCTGCACAAGGAAGAAAGTGGGGGTGCGTGGGGAGAAAGGCACAAAGATTGGAAAGGAATCGGTAAAATTTTCTTCATGTACAACATTCTTGTTTATGTAGAAAGTCCTAAGGAATCCACAAAAAGCCCTGCGAAACTAACAAGTGAACTCAACAATATTGCCAAATCGATTGTCTTTATAAATGTTAGGAACATAAGTCAAAATGACACTTTGTAACATCAAAGGGGTTTCATCAAAACCGGAAACCACAGGAATGTATTATCAACGATGCACAAGACAAGTACATCGAAACCAGAAAATATTGAAGAGAGAAATTAAAGGGGACTTCCACTCGCCCAAAATGGAGAGATTAACCATACCTGTGGGTTGGAAGACTGAATTTTAAGTTGCCAATATTTCACACACTGACCTATAGAGTCCGTGCCATCCATCAACTCCACTTCCAGGTGTTTACTCAAGAGAAAAGCAGACATCTGTCCCCACTTACAGACTTGCACACAATGTCCCAAATAACTTAATTCAGATTAGCACCCCCCCAAAAAAACCCAAAATGTACATTAACAAGTGAATTATACAAGCCATACATGGTCATTAGAACATTTAGACGTTCTAGATATGCAAAGTGGGGGGAAAAAAATCAAAGCCCTCTGGTTTCCTACCACTAACCCCTGTTCCTGTTTCTGATGCAGAGCTTTCTCCCCATTTTGCCTGCCTGCAATGTAGTCCTTAGGCCGGCCTCTACCTGAGGCCTCCTGCCTCCACTCTTCCGGAAATTAGATTGGGTTTGAGTCAATCATCCAACCCATAATCAAGTGAATGAATTTGCCCGGGAGGTGTCATCCTTCAAGAGATGTGGCAGTGCTGAGCTGAGATGGGTTGGGGGATTTCTGAGGTCCTGGGTGCTCGCCTCCAACAGCTACCTGCAGCCACCCCAGTCGGGCCTGCGGAGGTCACTGCTGAGGAGGGGATTTGGGGAGAGCCCTCACTTCTCAGGCGTTGGTTTGGAGCGCCCTCTTGTGGCAGCGCGTCGAACTGAAGCCCAGCGGCAGGTGGGCAGAAAAGCATGCCTAGGACATTCCCTGGGCTGGGGTGGAGACTTGTTCTGAGGGCTGGAACAGGCCTGTCATGAATCTCAAGCTGAACGGGCTGCAAAGGTAGCTCCCTTTCCTGGAGCAAACATTTGTACCGGGTGAGCAGAAATCTCTCAGGGACAAGTTTTCCAATACCTTCTTTTTAGGATGTCTCTCAACTCCCAGCCATGCCATGAAATGCTGTTTCTTCCTCCATCACAGGGTGGGCTCCTGGAATCCACGTTTGTGAACATGCTGTCACATCCTGGACCACAGCCATAGGACCTGGGTGGGCGCTTGGCAGATCTGGACCAAGCGGGGTTGTTTCCCTGGAAACTTGGAAGGAGAGCAATACAGAGACACTAAGTGGAGAGCTGGGTCTATAATAACGTGGGGAATGTGGGGCAGCTGTTTATTTAGTTCTACTTTGATATCTCCATGTGGGTTGAGTAAGAGAGAGAGCTGGAGAAACGGAGCAAACGTGCGGAAAGAAGCCAGAGAGAAAGAGAGAGAGAGAGAGAGAGAGAGAGAGCCCTCCCTGTGTTCTCCTTTCTAGAATCCCCTGAGGTCTGGCTGCAGCTAGCTTTTGGACCCTAAGATGCTTCTAGAACTTATTGGGTATGCTTCCTTATGTCTTAAGCTACCTGAAGTCCTACCACATCTGGTCTTGGTGCCTGTCTCTAGTGCTACTCATTCAGTCACTCATTCATTTCTTCATTCAGCAAGTAATTATTGACCATGTCTACATATCAAATAATACTGCTATAGAAACTGGGGAAAGAGCAGTGAACAAAAAAAAAAAAGTTTTTTTTTTTTTTTTTTTTTTTTTACTGTCATGTAGGAGAGATGAACATAAAAAAACAAACCCATAAGTACACAACACATCAGATGGTGTTAGGGCTATGAAGAAAAGTGAAGGAGTAAGAGGAACAGTGACTGTAGACAGAGCAGTCAATAAAGACTTCTCTGCTTAGGTGGGACTTAAGCGAAGACCTAAAGGAATTGAAGAAGTAGAGGGAGCCATGTAGCACCTTAAGGAAAAGCACTGGGTAGGGAGAACAGTAAGTGCAAAGGTCCTGGGGCAGGAGGTGTTTGAAGAACACCAAGGAAGTGACTTTGACTAATGGAGTGAATGAGGGTTGAAGATGAGGTCAGAAGGGTGGAGGAATCTTGGGATAGGCTGTTTGGGTGTTGCCGGGTGGCGGCATGGGGTGTTGCAGGGTGGGCATTTGGGAGGACTTTGGCTCTTGCTCTCAGATAGGGAACAATTGGAGGGTTTTCAGTACATGTTATGATCCTACCACATTTTTTTAAGTTAATAATCAGACATTGGTGTTTATTTTGGGAGTCTGGGGAGATCCATTCAAGATTCTGGAACTGCAAAAGCACCCATAGGCCTGGTGGGTAACACCCCCTGATAGGTGCAGGTCTGGGTCCTTGGCGGCAAATTGGGATGTATTTGTAGGAAGAATGAGGGCTCATCCCAAAATGGGCTGGATTTGGCTCTTGGCCATGTGATCTCTAGGCTTTTGCCCATTTGATTTGTTCTCTTTTAGGGGCTTCTATCTTTTTTCTCCCATGAGACAGAGCTCAAGGATGGGCCAGGTCTGATCTCCTCTTGCTTAGGAGGAGAGATCCCTCCCCCTGGCCAGCCCTCCCTCAATGGCTAAGGGGGATGAGGGGTTATGGGGAGGGGAGCCTGTGTCGACGTGGAGTTCATTTACTTACTCAGCAACTCTTTATTTACGTATTCTACATGTCAAATCCTGTCCCCAAAGTGACATTAATGGAGACTTTATCAACAGCCTTTCCCTGAGCAGCGGGGCAAAATACCATACATGCTGGGGGTAAGGGGGCCCTGAATCTCCCATCTTCACTGATGCCCCATTCCCCCGCCTCCACTCTATGAAAGATGCTGTCACGGGAAGATGAATGCCAAGACCACAAGGCTCATTTGCACAATGTTGGAACGGTTCCTTTTGAAGTATCTGTAATCTCACTATATAACTCCTCCCCTCGGGGCTTCAAAGAAGTCTTTCTAAGTCTTGTTACCTGATACCTAGGACTTGCATGGTGAGACCACGCCTCCGGGAAAAATTTTGAAACCCTTTTTAACAATTCTGCTAGGTCATCTTTACAGGAAACCAGGCACCCTAAACCAGCGTTGACTGGGGGAGTCCCCCAGTGCTCTGTAGTACGCGAAAAACAAGGGCACCCCTTGGGATGAGCCGCTTTTCCTGGGCTCAAGCACCAAGGGTCCCCTCAGTGCTGATCCTGTGCTGTCATTCGGCCGGGGGCGGGGTGGTGGGATGGTGGATTCGTCTCCTAGGGCTGCCTTTACAAGTGGCTACAAACTGCACAGCTTTAAAAAGAAACTATTTTCCGATTGACTTATTTCGCTCAGCATAATAACCTCTGGTTCCATCCACGTCATTGCAAATGGCAAGATTTCATTTTTCTGATGGCTGAGTAATATTCCATTGTGTATATACACCACATCTTCTTTATCCATTCATCTGTCGGTGGACATCTGGGGTCTTTCCATAGCTTGGTTATTGTGGACATCGCTGCTATAAACATTGGGGTGCAGGTGTCCCTCAAATCACTATGTTTGTATCCTTTGAGTAAATACCTAGTAATGCAATTGCTGAGTGGTAGGGTCGCTCTATTTATGATTTCGCTCATAGGTGGAGTTTAAGAAACAAAACAGGATCACAGGGGAAGGGAGGGCAAAATAAAATAAGACGAAATCAGAGAGGGGACAAACCGTAAGAGACTCTTAACCATAGGAAACAAACAGTGTTGCTGGAGGGGAACGGGGTGGGGGGGATGGGGTAACTGGATGTTGGACATTAAGGAGGGCACGTGATGTGATGCGCAGTGGGTGTTGTATGCAACTGATGAATCACTGAACTCTACCTCTGAAACTAATAATACACTATATGGTAATTAATTGAATTTCGATTTTAAAAAAATCTATTTTCTTACAGTCCCAGGAGCTAAAAGCTTGAAATCGTGGTATCGGCAGGGCCACGCTCCTTCCAAAGGTTCCAGGGCAGGACCTTCCTTCTTCTTCCAGCTTATGGTGGCTCCAGATGTCCTTGGCTGGTGGCTTCATCCCTGATCTCTGCTTTCATCTTCCCATGGTCTCCTGTTTCTGTTTTCTCTGCTCTGTCTTTTATAAGGACACTTATTATTGCATTTAGGACACACCTGGATTATCCAGGATGATCTCCTCTGGAGATCCTTAACTCAACTACTTTGGAGGTAGTTTTGTGTTTTTGTTTTTACGAAATGAGATTAGAGTCACAAATTCAGTGGGCAAGTACCCCACGCCCTAAGGTTCCCTAATGCAACCACTCGGGGTTATGGTGTGATGCTCAATTTTATGTGCCAACTTGACTGGTCTAAGGGATGCCCAGGTAGCTGGTAAAGCACTATTTCTGGGTGTGTCTGTGAAAGTGTCTCTGGGAGAGATTGGCGTTTAAATCAGGAGACCGAGGAGAGAAGGTGGCTCTCACCCGTGTGAGTGGGCATCTTGCAATCTGCCGAGGTCTTGAATACAGCAAAGCTGAGACCTCCACCTACTCATGCCCCTGGACCTGGGTGGTCCCGGGTCTCGGGCCTTTGGAATCAGACTAAATCATACCACCTCCTGGGTCTCCAGCTTGTAGATGGTAGATCCTGGGTCTTCGTGGCTTCCATCCTCACGTGAGCCAATTCCTATCATACATCTTCTCATCTATATATTTAGGGATGTATCCTATTGGTTCTGTGTCTCTGGAAAAGGCTGACTAATACACCCTGTCTAGTTATTTGACTGTTCCTGCTCTCTCAAGTTCCTGCCTCCTAAAAGCTGGCAGCTGTCTTGTTCCTGCCATAGGAGATGGGCTCTCCCTTGCTGCTTTGGTCCCGTCCAGCCTTCCAAAGCTGGGCTGGTGTCTCAGTACAGTGTAACTTCTGATCCCTGATCCTTGCTCACCTCCGGCGCAGCTCAGGTCCTTGCGGATCCATGCGGTCCCGCGAGCTCCCAGCTCTGCGGTTCCTCTCCTGCATCTCTGAGACTCCACTCCTCTGGGCTTGGTCTGACCCTGGTTCTCGGGATCCCGTGCAGCTGTTCCGACCGGGCTATGTGACACCCAAGGACGTTCTCACCATGTGCACCTGTAGCTGAGCGCAGCCCACAGGCCACGCCAGTCTTTGGCTGCAAAGAGTGCACACGGTAGACGAAATTCTCACCTCTTCTCTCGGTCCTGGTCTCCTTTTCTCCCTCCTTATTTCTTTTCCTCCCGTTCTAGTTTTTCGACTCTATCACATGCTGGGTTTGGTTCGCTACAGCCTCCAGAATGCTGCAGAATAAAGCCGTCCCTGACTACGGGGTCTTAAAACAACAATCTTTTTTTTTTTTTCCTTGTGGGCAGCCTGGGCAGTTCTGTTAATTTAGGGTTGGCTGGGCGGGGTGATTGCCTCAAGCTGTGACAGCAGCAGCTTTGCTTTTCACCGATGGCTGCGGGTTAGAAGGGACAGCTTGGATCCACGTCCTTCCTGGAGTCCAGTTTGATGGGGCGGCAGCTACCCACAGGAAGTTCTTCTTAGGGGAATGGCAGAAACTCCTGAGGCCCCATAAGACCTGCGCTTGCAAACGCTGACTGGCACTTCTATGCCCTTCCATTGACCGAAGCGAGTCACACAGTGACTCAAGCCCCGCCTCAAGGAGTATGGAATTACTCTGCCTAAAAGGAGGCCGTGGCGAGGCTGTGGATGCAGGGCGGGCTGAAGAATCGGGGCCCGTCATTCAATCTTACACCTGGTCAGTGCTCCTCAGTACGAACTGTTCATCCCATGCGTTGACTTGTACATTCTCTAGGTTTTGAATGTGCACCCAGGCGAATTTGAAACTAGCGTCTGCGAGGACTTTACCTTGATTTCCTCAAGGGATTGCTGTTGGCTGCAGAAGGCACAGGGGGCCGATCTGCCTGTGGTACTTGACAAAGATAGAAGAGCTCTTTCTGAAAAATAACAAAAACTGGAAAACCTCCGCCAGCCATGACGTGGGGATTTTAAGATCCGGGTCTGGGGCTCCATCACTGGGGACCCGAAACATCCATTAGCAAGGCCATTAGCATGCGGCGGCCAGGGCTGAGGCCAAGGACCAGAGCAAAGCTTTCGATTCCTCTGCAAGACTGCAGGGAAAGGACTAACAGGAGGCCTTGTGCCAAGAGCGGGCCACACATTATCTCATTTAATGCTGGCCGCGGCCCTGGAAAGTGGTGTTTTTAAACCCACGAAATGGAGAACTTACATCTGTGCAATTATAATGCCTCTCCCTGGGTAATCACTTGAATGGAATTTTGTTGAGTGTGATGCAGTCCATTTCCCAGCATCGCTGGAAAATTTTGAAACACAGGTCAAGTACCCTCACCTTCAAGTTATATCAGGAAGCTTGCTCAATAGAAAATCCGGTGTCACAAGAATAGCTCCATTACGTGAGCAGGCAAATGCCTCAGAGACAGCCTGCGAGACCTCCTCATCTGCCCCCTCGGCAGCCTGGAGGATGCGGCTGCTCTGTGCTTCCCTCATTCATTTGCTGATGCCAGTCTTGGGTCTCTAGGTACCATGCGTGGGGCGGTCTCTGGTCTGGAAGCAGGCTGAGCACCGCCTCCTGCCCCCAGCCCTCCTGGAGGAACGGGAGACCCTCATGGCCCCGAGGCTTGGGACATCTCTTTCCAGCGGTGTAGGTTGTCACCTTTGGTCATCTGCAAGCCAAGCGAGGGCTGTCCACTCTTCAGCTGCCTTTGGTCAACAGCTCACTTGAAAGTCCATGTCAAGAGGCTTTGGTGGCTGGGGTGGAGGTGACAGAGGGCAGGCAGAAGGAAGCACCGAACTATTTCCTGCTCGTCTCCATCTTTTACTTTCTTCTCCGATTCTCATCCGAGTCCCTCCCTGGCTCCTTACCTTCCTATCACTGCACCTGGAAAGTTCTCCCCGCCATCCTGCCCTCTGCGTGCTCCCTCCTTCGCTTCACGTTGTCCTGCAAGAGCGGTGTGGTCCTACTGTCCACGTGAATCAGATTCTGATTCAGCAGCTCTAGAGAGGGGCCTGGGTTTCTCTCAAGCTTCCAGCGGATGCCGACGCTGCTGGTCCACGGACCACACTCTGAGTAGCCAGAGCATCGTGTTTTACAAAGGACTACTACATATATGATTCCCTTGTCCCTTGCCACAACCCAGAAGGGGTTGTTTACAGGTGAGGGGGCGAAAGATCGGAGAACTGGCAGGACTGTGTTGGGAGCCACCTGGCTAACATCAAGGACTCGGAACCCGGGTTTCTGATCAGCAACTCGATGCCGGGTTTACGCTGCTCGACTAGGAGGACGCAAGGCCGTGAAGCCGTGGGCTCCACCTATGTGCTTGATGTCACCCATGCCCCTGCCTCGACACCGCGGTGACTGTCCTATTATTCCGAGGGCCCATTGTTCCTGGCCTACTGAGGTGCCCCAGTAAAATGAAAGACTTCAGAGAAGGGGTGTGTGGCCGTAGGTAGAGAGCACACACATTTCAGAGGGCAGAGCTCCCGGTGTCCCTGTGCGAGATCAGGTGTGCTCTGTGGGCTGTCCTTGGCCGTGGAAATGGGCCGTATAAATTATACACAGAAATAATATGCATTCTGCTGCAAGCTGCCAGAAGGTCTCGCGATGGTAGAGATGATGGATTGCCTTGCTGGGGAATGGCAGGCTCTTCCGGGGGACGAGAGAGAAAGAGAGAGAGAGAGAGAACTCGAGGAGGGGGCGGAGGTTGAAGCCAGGCGTCCAACTTCTGCATTTCCTGTCAGCAGGGACGTGTGCTTTTCTCTCTGGCCAAAGCTTGCTGCCCTTCGGCAAAGGACCTACATTCTCAGAGTTGCAGATTGTGGGCAAGAAAGAAGGTTGAACAGGGTCCAGTCCGTGAGTGATGATTTCGGGCCCGGTGAACCTGAAGATGTCGGGCAGGAGGTCAGAGAGGCTGAGTGCCCAGCCCAGGCACTGCGCGGCTGGGGAAACAGAGGCCTCTTGACAGAGACACCTGCCCGAGGCCTCCCGCCTTCTTGAGGGCAGCCCTGGGGCCAGCGCGCTGGCTTCCCAACCGTGGCCTCAGGTTTCTCCTCTCACTTCATCTCTTTGCCTGTCCATGGACGAAGCTCTCGTCTGACTTTTCTTAAGCAGGAGAAAGGGCTCCGGATTCAAGACGGGTGGCAGTGGGGAGCAGCCTGCAGGGTCTTGGAGAGAAGTGCTCAGTCACGGGGTGCACCCAGAAAAAGGCAAAATCTCTTGGCATCAGGGAAAGACACCAGTTCGACAGGTTGTCACCCCCTTGGATCTCTCTTCTTGGGCCACTGTTCAGCGGACATTTCCGTGTGCTTCCCATTACAGTATGTCATTTATTCGCCTGCCCCTCAGTAAACGCCGTCTGTCCGAGGAGTAGATGAGCTGTGTGCTCAGGCCATTCCTCCCTTCAAGTCCTCTCTTTCTTCACTGAGGAACCACACATGACATCCCCCCTCCGCCAGCCAGTCCTGTGTGCCGAGCTGACCACCCAGAGGTCAAGGCCATGGTCTCTGCCCCCAGGGACCATCGTTGCAATGCTCCCGTGTGAGTAACATGCGTGTGACCCCGTTCTAGAATGATGCTACTCAGAGCACCTGTCTGCTTCCACAAAGGGAGCTTGCACCAGAGTGTAAACCAACACACCCATCACTCCACCGAGAAAGTCTTACTATGAGAAAGAAAAGTCCGCGACAGCCCTAAGGCCTGTGCTTAGCAAAACAGCTGATTTGTCTTCTAGCACCAGGTTCTGTCTCCTCACTGACAGGAGGACTGGAATTCCTAATTGTGGGCTGCTGATCTGTGGACCGCACGCCGGGAGCCCTGTTCGAGAGCACTTTCTGTGCATCGGGCACACCGCTAAACACTGTGTGAGTGTATGTACAGGGCACATACACACACACACACACACACACACACACACAGACATGTATATGTGTGTGTTAATTTCATTCCTTAAATTGGGCCATAAAATAAACTTTTTCTCCTTTTTGGTGTATAGTTCTATTTTCATTTTAATTTTAACACTTGTATATGCTCGTGTAACCCCCACCATAATCAAGATACAGAAGACATCCATCACTCCAATGAACTCCCTCCTCCTATCCCTTTGTGGTCACCTTCCTGCCCCATCCAGAACCCCTGACTACCCCTGGAAGGCAGACGTAAGTGGGGCGCCAACTCGGATGGTGCGGAGAAGGGCACCATCCTAGGGAAAGAAGGAGCGTGGGCACCCGAGACTGCACAGAGCAGAACTCAGTGAGAATCAGCTCCTGTGATCATGTCCCTTAAGGGCAGGACCTCGAAACTCTGCTCACATCCAACTGCGCAGGATCGGGGAAACAGGACCTTTGTTCTGGATGGCCATTGTCTCCAACCTCTCCCTACAAAATAGGAGGGGTGACAGTTACAGTCTCTGCCACAACAGTGAAATTCAAGGACTGTCTCGTTTATTTCTTCTTGAAACAAATCAAGTGTGCCGCTCCCTCCAGCACACCCTGGCTCTGCTGTCCACAGCAACGTGGGGAGCGACCCCCAGTGTTTTCCGTTGTTCCCTCGCTGCTCAGTGCAGCTGACAAGGGTGGCTCTTCATTCTCTGGGGGACACTGTGGCTCTGAGGAGGGGACAGAAGATACTCCCTCCTGAAGGCCCGGCCGTGGGACTCTGCCCCTGCCGTGAAGGCCATGGCCTTCATAGAATGGCCTGTTCAGCATCTCCTCAGCCACCCTCACCTGGGTCTGTTGCTTTAGGGCATTCCATGGCATTCTTGAGGAACACCCCGAATCCCAGGGGTCCCTGACATAGTCTCAGGAGCCTCAAGATTAAATATTCAAAATTAGTATGAATTCTTGGGGCGCCTGAGTGGCTCAGCCAGATAGGCATCTGCCTTCAGCTCAGGTCTTGATCTTAGGGTCCTGGGATGGAGCCCCACGTTGAGTTGGGGCTCCCTGCTCAGCGGGGAGTTTGCTTTTCCCTCTGCCGCTCCCCCTCCTCATGTGTGTGTGCACACTCTCTCTCAAATAAATAAAATCTTTAAAAAATTAAAATAAATTAGTATGAATTCTTAAGTTCACACTAATAATAATCTTAAACATACATATATATTTAAAATAGTCTTTAAAAAGATAAATTCAACAGCGCCTCAGGGGAACTGACCAACCTCTGACATTCCACTGAACCATTTGACTGAATATTGGTTACATCCAATATTTACAAAGTAGATGTCTCAATCAGGAGCCTGGCAAGAAAGAGAATCAACTTGGGTAATTTCAGGAGAACTTAATAAAGGGACCATGCTGTACTTTGGAGCTAGTAACATCCAGGGGGGCCTGAGAGGGTGAGGGATGGGGGCTCTTAACCGCCCACAGAATTGTCCTGAGGGCTTTTCACAGGGCAACTGATTTAAACCTTGCGGGGCCACGAGCACAAGGCCAGTGAGATCGAGGTGGCGATGAGGAGGCATTCCAAGCCACTTTTGATTAAAGCGACAACGGACAGGAAGTGGACCCGAGCCAGTCCCTGCAGTGTAGAGTTGCTTGAAGAGGACACATTTATGTGAGACGCCCAGATGGAGACACAAGGCGGCGGGGTGTGTGTGTGTGTGTGTGTGTGTGTGTGTGTGTGTCAAACAACACTCCTGGATCAAAGTGCACAACTTATCCGAGGAGCCAACAATGGTGAGAGGCAATTCCTGTGCGCGCAGGAGGGAGGGCAGGGGGGAGGGAGGGGTTTGCATGTTCAGACAGGACTGGTACGAGGAAGAAGCCCGCCTTCCTGCCCCTGCTGCAGCCAGCCAGCTCTCTCTCTCTTAGAGGATTTATTTATTCATTTTAGAGAGACAGCGCGAGTGAGCAGAGGGGTAGAGGCAGAGGGAGAGGGAGAGAGAGTCATAAGTAGACTCCACGCTCAGTTCAGAGCCTGACAGCGAACTCAATCTCACGACCCCGGGATCACGACCTGAGCCAAAACCAAGAGTCGGACACTCAACCCCAATGGAGCCAACCAGGCGCCCCAGCCAGCTCTCTTTAACCACGTCCTTTGAGAAAGGCCAGAAGAGGGAGGCCTCGGAGGTCATTCACGCCAATGGTGGCCACCAGTCTGAAGCTCCCTGTTTGCCACGCCCGTCAATGCCCATTATCTCAAGTAATCGCCACAATCCTGCAAAGCGGATGTTATTGTCCCTTTTCTGTGGACGAGGAAACTGAGGTCCAGAGAGGTGAAGTAACTTGCCCGAGGTCACACAGCTGATAGTGGCAGAGCCGAGGCTCCATTTCAAACCCAATAAGCTTCTTGTTATACTATGTTGTCTTCCACATCCATAACAGAGACACAAAGCACACGGAGTAGGAGACTGGAACAGACCGCGTGCCGACATAACGGGGGGGACCCAGACTGAGGAGGGGAGGAGCACTCAGGTCATCGGAGATGGCTGCAGGAGGAAAGCAGGTGTAAACTGAACCCTGAAGGGCAAGGTGAATTGCTATGAGTGGAGCAAAGGGAAAAGCATTCATGGTGGGGGAACAGCGTAACCAAGTGCATGGACATGGGGATGAATACCATGTCTAGCACAAGCAGAGGCAACCATCCTGGTGAGAGCAGGAGGCTCCGTTGGGAGGGACTTGCAATAAAAAAGAGGGGGGCCAAGACAGTGGACTGGCCTCCTGGGACTTAGGCATCGGCTCCAGTTCTTAACAGAAAAGCGAAGGGATGGAAGCAGAGATTAAGGAAGATTGAAATCCGAGGTCCACAGTCGACCCCCCCAAGATGGGACTCTGAAGAGTGTAAGTGCTACAGCTCTATAAATTAGCTATCGAATGCAAGTGACTTTCAAACCCAGTCATCGTGTGTTTTGCCTCTAGCACCAGGTATATCTTATAAAAGGCTATCATTCAAAACGTAGCTAACACATAAAGTAGGTGTTTTTCCCTTTTTCTGACTTAATGAGTTTTAACTGACACTCGTATTGCTTTTCTGGAAAACGACTCCCCCATGCCCCGCCATAAAACCTACCAGTGTGTGCATTCCCACACGGCTGTGAGAAGAGCCCCGTCGCTTTGACAACGGACGTGGTGGGCACCTGTAGCCAGCACCCTGCCCTCTGCCCCCTGCTTGGCCCGAACCCCCAGCAGGTGCTGAAAAGCGGGGTTTGGGCTGAGAAGTCTCAGGGCACTGATGCCTACAGTGGGCCCTGGGTGCCAGGCTCTGCTTAGACCCACAGTGGAAGAGCTCTTCTTCCAAGACCTGGCGAGAGCCTGGAAGCTGCTTTCATCTGGTTTTTATAAGATTGTCAAATCAAAGTTAAACAAGCATAAACGAACCTCCCCCAGGGCTCTGGAAATGAGCAGGCTAGAGAGGGTGGAGGCAGTGGCTGAGATGGGTGAGGGGTCCTCTGAGATGCCCGAGTGGGAGATAGTCCAAGGCCACGGCAATGCCATGTCCGCCCAGAGTGAGGCTGTGTGCTAGGTAGGGGCTGGATGCAAAGGTCAGTGAGGCAGGGTCCGCTCTCGAGTGGAGACACCACAGTTAGTTGCCACCTCTTCAAGGACCCCTTCTCTGCCACACACACAGCTGTCCCTTTCAGAAATAGGTGCCTTATCTGGGGGCCCCGCAACCCCGTGTGTCCTACTGATCGCGTTGTTCCCCATACTGGATTGTCCTTTGCTAACTTCCCGGTCTTCCGTGCTCTCGCCAGTGCTGTGCACCATTGCTTGAGTCAACGTTTTACAAAATCGCTGGACCAGTGAAATGGGGTAAGGGAATTTAAATCCAATGGCGGGAGTGAGTGAATGATGTTGAGTTATCTTAAGACCATTTGCTTTCCTAAGAGAAGTGATTTGGGAAATATCCTCTAGAAGCTCAGAAAGAACCCATCTCGTGTATTTGGGGGCTCGGGATGATTGTGGAATTCTGGGAAACTGCAGCCACTGACAGGCTAATGGGTGCCCGGCCACCTGGGGCAGGCTGGAAGGTGGCGCAGAGCCACAGAGGAAACACCAATCACCTTTGACCCTCTCCCTGCTGGGGAGGAGAAATGCAGCCACCAGGCTGCATTCTCCTATGAGCAGGAGAGGGGAGTGGCTTAGGGTGACATGACCACAGTCATGGGAATGTCGCCCCTCACTCTTCTGCTCTACTGACATAATGGTGTCCAGCCATCGGTGTCCATGTTTAACCAACATGACAGCACGGTATTGGAAAGGGAAAGAGAGATGATCTGCTGCCACCCAGTTGGTGGGCCTTTGTGGATTGTGATGTGAAGAATCTTTCGTCCTTCCTCCACATGATCTCAATTCTTCCTTGACCTCTCTGTTCTTTCACTAGTTCTGGAAAAGATTTCTCAGGCCTTGGGACAATAGTAGACTCACTGTGTAGGTGATGAAAATGCATTGCCACGTTCCGTTCTCCCATGCGAAGTTCACTCCAATCATGTGGGCCATAATGAGTTGTCACAAGACACAGAGTGGTCATACACCCATACCAGGCATTCATGGTTTCTTAGCAACCAACCAGAAACTGTTAGGCAGGTCTTGTTTGTGTCTGGGCTCCTGTGTATCAGTAGCTGTGTAGTCACCGCTGAGTGTAGATGGACGTTTTGTGCGTGTGTTGATTTCTTCTCTCGATTCCGTCGCACTGTAGTCACCTAACAAAGAGTTTGAAAGGTGGTAGTATTTCTGAAATTGTTTCACGGGTCTGGAGCTAATTTTAAGAGAAGCTAGTCTTATCTGTTTCTCTTTACCCCTTAATGCGTGCTACGCTTTGAGTTTTAACAATTTGCTTGGAGTAGCATAGAATAACTATTCTGAAGACCTGCCTTAGTTTCTAAATCCATCAATCCCTCTTATTTTCTGTTGCTTGAACGATCTTCGAGGACATGCTTTATTTCCATTTTACCTCCCCCACTAGAGGCTCGGAGAGGAGCAGTCCCAGGTCCCTTGGCCAGGACTAGGACTCAGACCCACATCAGCCCACTGTGCCATGTCTGTGGGGTAGGTAGGAGGTTTCTGGCTTGAAACTTGAACCCCTTATATATAGTGTGACTCCTCAAACACGGTGGCCAGAATGTTCTTGGGTGTCTGTGATGCATGGTATCACTCCCCTAGAGCTCAGCATCACATGGTCATCGTTCTGGCAGACCCTACCTCTGGGTCAAAATGTGGGAGGGAATAAAGCCAGACTCCAGACCCCAGAAGCCACGGGGTGCACTGCTGGCCACGTCACTGGAAATCTCTTGGTGTTGCTGAATGAATGAATGCAAAATGAACGAATGAGTGAGGGATTCTAATTCCATTCACAGCCAAGGTTCACACTTGCCCAGCACCCTGAAGCAGCACATGATGGTTTCCGTTACCCAACACTCGGGAGATTATTTTGCTGTAAACAATGGTACTTTTGCATGTTACCGGAGAATTATAAGTTCTCATTGTTCGAATTATTGTTCTGGATAATTATTGTGGTGACACAGGGAGAGAAACGGAGCTGCCCTCTCTTATGAAACAGTGAGCCAGCATGAGTCAGGAGTGAGCATTAGTGAGTATTGTTGCAAACAGGTGGCAACGGACGGCCTTGCTCTGTTTGCCAAGACAAATGCAATCACAGTGCACAGCGTTAGATATCCTTGCATGGTCTTGCTGACAACTTGTGCAGAAGCATTTGCTATCAGCCGAATCCATTTCATCCTGAATGTGCGCCA